GGTGGTCAGTTTCAGCAGTGGCTGACTTGGGGATGCCTGGGGTAGAGCAGTTGGGGTGCTGCCGGGTTGGTCCCGCAGCACCGCTCCCCCATTCTCCTCCTACCCCTGACCCCTCATAGCCCCCCCTTCCGATAGTCTGGCATATCTGGTAATCCGGCACCCCCTGGGTCCTAAAGGTGCCGGATTATCGGAAGTTTACTTTATTTCAGTACAAGCTGTCCTCATCATAAGTCCACGATACGTTCCAAAAAACTTGGACTTACAGTGAAACAACTTAGGGGAATTTTTTTGACTTCTACAAGCATCAACAAATTTAGCGTGGAACAGGTGTATGCTGAGACAATTTATAGCTGAGACATCCTTTAGTGTTTTGTGAGGCATCTACTGTCTGAAGGCCCGGTAGATTATATGCTCCTTATTGAGTGGGTTATATGCCAGAGTTAAGGCTTTATCTGTTGGTTTCCATGCTCCAGCTTTAACCTGAATTTTATTTTACACATTTATTAGTTGTATTAACCATTATGACAGCAACAGAATATAGTTAGAAACTGGATTGTTTTTGCATTATTTGTATTAAACCATTATAAAATAAAACAGGTTTAATGCATGAGTTCTGCATTTCTGGTTTGCCAGGATAAAAATGTAGATTTTTTTCTATCTGTGGCTACGGATGTTAAAATGAGTGTAATTAAGAAACTGTGTAACCACTGAAAATTTGCAAAATGCATTAACTATTCAATTAGTCAGTTACCCAATACTTAACATCCTTATTACATACACATTCACACAAATAATTAGTAACTGGGTAATTGGTACTTACAAAATACCTCAGGTTGGGCACCTACCATCACTAGTTAGTCTTAGTAGTCTTAGCCAGTGTGTTGACAAATGGCAAGATCAAAACACATCATTTGTCACTGTTTCACAAGGTGAAAAATGTTAAATCAATGTTAAATCAAATTGATTTAAATCATGGTTTAAATCACTAGTTAGATTCAATTAAATTATGGTTTTCAACATAAAAGTGTATTCTTGTTGGTTGTCATAACCTTAATATGTATTCTCAACTCAGAAATAGATGTAGGTTGCATTTTTAGTAGGTGCCCCCTATACATTTTTAACTGATTTCTTTTGAAAACTTTTCAGATTAGTTTTACAGCAGTGTTTCTCAAACACTTGGGCTACGTCTACACTGGCCCCTTCTCCGGAAGAGGCATGCTAATTTCAAACTTTGGAATAGGGAAATCCAGAGGGATTTAAAGATCCCCCGTGGGATTTAAATAAACATGGGAAAGTAGGAATAAGAGATCCTCCGGAAAAGGGCTTTATTCCGGAGGATCGCGCCATTCTAGACGCTTTTTTCCGGCTTTTCCCTAAGCCAGAAAAAAAGCGGCAGACATGTTTATTTAAATCCCGCGGGGGATATTTAAATCCCCCGCGGATTTCCCTATTCCAAAGGGGCCAGTGTAGACGTAGCCTTGGAGAAAGCTGATTGCTGACCGCGCCAGTGTGTTTATTTACTGGCACCACAGCCATAGCGCTTCGTGGCTCCCATTGGCTCCAATTTGCTATTTGCAGCCAAGGGGAGCGGTAGGAAGCAGGCGACTCTTTAGGATCTTCCTGTGGCTCCCCTTAGCTGCAAACGGTGAACCGGAGCCAATGGGAGCCACAAAGCTCCATGGCTACAGCACCAGTAAATAAACACACTGGCATGGCCAGCAATCAGCTTTCTCCAAGTGGTTTTGTGGCCACTTTGAGAAATACTGTTTTATAGTATTTCAGAAAATGAATGATTGCTTGTTTATTTCATTTACCTAAGGTAATTGGAGTAGATAGTTCATTTCCCAAAGGCTTCATAATTATCTCCAATTCAACAGGTTAATCATTAATATTTGGACATTTTTCTTGCCATGCCGTATTAGGAGAATGTCACCAGACAGACATTTAAAAGGTTTTATTTAACTAAAACAATATGTATTCTGGATTTTTTCTTCAACAGCAAACATATAATATTTTAAAAAACATACAATATTTTAAAAATTTTTGAATTTAGGTAAACATTCACTTTTTTTTTAAGGTCGGGTTTGTTTTTTGTTAAAATTGTTTTTAACTAAAATAGTTAAATTAAATATTTTTAAATGAAAATTAAATAGATTATGTCAGCCAGGCCATCATGAGAAACTTAAAATATTGGGTTCTATTTATAGAACTTTTTGAAACTTTGCGCTTTCAGAGAGGTAAAGGATTGACTAGGTATACACAAATTGGCAGAGGGACAATAATAGGGTTGAAGTCTGTTATTTCTCACCTCTATATATTTATTTGTTTGTTTATTTAAAAACATGCTTGCTGTTAACAAGCATGTTAGCTCTGGAGACAAATCCACAACTTGAGAACTGCAAAACTTAGCATCTCTGATGGTATCTTCTAGACTGAGCACTGAGTTCCATTGGGTACATAGAAAGATTAATCTAAATAATGTATACAGAAGTGTCTTGAACCTCATAACATTGGGTCTCTAATCCATGAACCATTGGAACTCATTTACAAACTTTTCTTAAGCATTACTTGAATTAGAATTAGAATTTATAATTCCTATTCCGTGATGAGACATATTTGAGCTATGATGTATCTTAATTAAAACTACCTTTATATAGTATAGGGTTTTTCCTCAAAAAGCATTTTACTAAAAAAAACAATTTAAATTTTAAAAAAATGATTTTTTTTTAATAATTTATTTTTGTTCACCCTGACTCTCACTATTTACCAGTTGGTTTGAATAAATTAATTGATGGGATGCTTAGTTTTTGTTGTTCTTCATTGTTGTCCTTAGTTTTGGTCTTTTTGAAGCCATGTCTGCCATTGAAATGATGGACCCCAAGATGGATGCTGGCATGATTGGAAATCAAGTTAATCGAAAGGTTCTTAACTTTGAGCAAGCTATCAAGGTTGGTTCCACTTCTTTTCTTTCTTTCTTTTTTTTTTTTTTTTTTTTGTATTGACTTTGAAGGTACCAAACTAAAAAAAAACCAAACAGAATTTTAATAAATCATTGTTGAAGTTGCACACAGCTATCACTTCAATGATCTATGTAAACTGAGTATTTTAACATTTAATAGAGAATTTGTATTACATTTTCAGAAGAAATAACATGCCCTATTTAGCTACAGAATAAGTACAATACAGATAACTACAATATCTTTTCCCATGCTTCATAAATATATTTTTCTAAGATGAAGATTTATTAGCTTATTTAGTCCCTTCTGTTAAAAAGATATTTCAGTCTCGTTGCAGTACTTGGTCTCTCTACAGATATCGTAAATTGACACCGGATTTGATAATGTGGATTCCTGTTCACTAGAAACTGGACAGAGACCAAGTAATTTAACAAAGGCCATGGAACACCAGTCTGATGATGATCTTTTACTTCTGACATTCTCAGATTGAACTGATGAAGTAAAATTGAAAGATCCTGCATTCTTCTAGAGGTATCCAGTCACCATAATTAGATAAGAAAAAATAAACATTTTTAAAGGGTCAAAAGAGAAGCATCTCTAAGAATATATTTGATTTTTCAAATTGTGTATTTGGGTGCATTGAACAAATACCTTACCAGTTAGGAAACCATCATCTTTTAGGCTACAGTCTTGCTGTCAATGGAGTGCACGTGAAGTTTCTTCTAAGACTGGCCCTTGGTTATTAAACCAGTGTTTGCATATATATTGCATATTTTTAAATGTTAGTTTAACCAGTTTTATTATTTTTATAGGCTACTTAAATGATGTTAGAATGAAAGTGCTGAGATAATTCTGTTTTACCTATCAGCGTGAGTTTTTTATTGCGCTCATTGCCACAATATGTATTGCAAAAGGATTCAGCATTCCAGAGATGTGGTAGCCATAGTTATGAATAGGCCCTACCAAATTCGGTCTACTTTTGTAAATTTCATGTTCATAACATTTTTAAAATCTTGAATTTCATTATTTCAGATATTTAAATCTTAATTTCACAGAGTTGTAAAAAAGCATCAATATTTATTGAAAAATGGCTAAGTCAGCATTGGTCCTGATCCAAAAAGGGGGTTCTGTGTGTGATTCACGGTATTGCCGCCATTACTTCTGAGCTGCCTTTAGGACTGGTAGTTGGAACATGGTCACTGCTGGATGGGTTCTGAGCTTGGAAAGCAGTGCATCCTTCAGAGCTGGATTTCTGATCAGCAGTTGCTGTTCTCTGGCCATCCAGTTCTGAAGGCAGTGTCACCACCAGTAGCTGTGCAGAAGGAAGGGTGGCAATACCATAGGCTATGTCTAGACTGCAGGCTTCTTTCGAAAGAGGCTCTTTCGAAAGCATCTTTCGAAAGAGCCTCTTTCGAAAGATCGCGTCTAGACTGCAGGCGGATCTTTCGAAAGAGAAATCCGCTTTTTCGAAAGAGAGCACCCAGCGAGTCTGGATGCTCTCTTTCGAAGACGGCCTCTTTACATTGAAGAACGCCTTCTTTCGAAAGAGGAACTTTCGAAAGAAGGCGTTCTTCCTCGTAAATTGAGGTTTACCGCCATCGAAAGAAAAGCCGCGTTCTTTCGAAATAATTTCGAAAGAACGCGGCTTGAGTCTGGACGCAGGGGAAGTTCTTTCGAAAAAAGGCTACTTTTTTCGAAAGAACCCCTGAGTCTGGACACGGCCATATTGTGCCATCCTTCTGTGCTACTGCTGGCAACAGCACTGTATTCAGACCTTGGCTAGCAACTGCTACTCTCCTGCACCCCAGATTTGAAGGCAGCACAGAAGTAAGGGCAGCAATACTATGACTAGAGTGCTGCACGGATACAAAATTTGTATCTGTGTCTGCAGAAATGATCCACAGATAACCACATCTGCAGATACATGCGAATATTTGCTCTAACTATGACCCTTTTACAATAGGCTTGAGATCCCCTTTTGAGTCAGGACCCTTAGTTTGAGAAATGCTGTATACTTGTACCCTGTAGTATAAAAGTGTAAGAGAGAATTTGGTATGTCTGTTGTATGAAGCTGGTCAGCAAAACCAACCAAACATAAATACCATGTTGAAATTGATTTAACATTGCATTCTTTAAAATTCCCTTTCTGCTGTGCAAAGAATGGCATATCTATTGTTTGTATAATCTATCACTTTGACATGCTTTTTTCCTTTTAAAGGATGGCACCATTAAAATTAAAGATCTGTCTTTACCTCAGCTGATTGGAATAATGGATACTTGTTTTTGCTGCTTGGTAAGAATTTGGTCTTCTTAATGCTGTTTCAATATTTTCAGACCTGGCGTTTAAGTAATTAAGAAAAATATGTAGGTTTCCTTGGTAAGGAAGGATTTTAGGTAAATTGATCCATTGTTACATATTGTAAGTTTAAATTTGGTGTAAGAATTAGAACTTGGAGTGATAGTTGGTTAATCAGGGTCTCAATAAATTTTGTGCATTAAAAGAACCATTTGTTCAAAAAAAATCTGGGGTTTTGACTGATGTACTGGAGAGAAATTATAGAATCTTATTTAAATTTAATTTAAAAAGCGGATCAAATTCTATATATTTTCACTTTGGCTTCTTTGCAATATAAAATACATATTAAAGGAAATATAGAAAATTGTTTTTAATTGAATGTTTAAATGTGTGCGCTAAATGCCACAAAATGAAATGGTAGGGTTTTTTCCTTGTTAATTGAGAGGAAATAATTTAATGCTGCAACCTTTTCTCTCTCTTCGCCCCTTCCCCCCCAACCTTTGGAAGAAAAATGTTGCATTTAAGTAAGTTCACCAAATCTACTTTGGTCCCTGTCCAAGCAGGGCCTCATGGTAGCTCTAATGTCACTGTGTTGTACATACTAGTTGATCACAGTGGAGTGGGAGTCAGTGATTTGTGAATTTGGAGGATGTGAGATGATATAACAGAAGGGAAACGGCTAAATTTTTATAATTTACACATTTATTAAATATTTTAAGATCATCTTTAGTCTGTAAAATAATATCTTAAATATAGAATAGTATGGTCTAGATGTCCCTCCCTCCAAATTGTCTTTGTAGAGATTAATGCCTACTTAAGTTGGTTTATTATAATGTAACTCATCTAAAAAGTAAATAAAAAAATTAAAATGTATATGGGTTTGTTTAAACTACAACTCTGCTGTATTTCCTAGTCTATTAAGAATGTCCTAGATCAGCGTTTCCCAAACTATGGTCCACGGCCCGGTATCGGGCTGCAGAAAAAAAATGCCGGGCCTCAGCATGCCTGGTGGCTGCTGACCCTTAGGCCGATTGACCCATCTGGTCGAATCGGGCCCCGCACCCCTGCACCCGGAAGTGCCGGCGAGTTTAGAGCCGGGCCCTGCTCCAGCACTATGTGGAGCTGGGTCTCTCCCCGGCTCTGCGTGTCCCCTCCTCACCGCCTGCCGCCCATGCGCGGCGTTGCACGTGGGCGGGGAGGACGTGACGTCATGGCCTGGGATTTTGAAACCCGCGCGAGGCACGTGGCGGGGCCTGGCTGGCTCCGGGTTCAGCCTCCGGGGCCTGAGCGTGGACCCTGGCCCCGCAACGGGGAAAGAGAAGGTGGGAACCGGCTCGTGCGGTGGCGAGGAAAGGAGAGGGGTGGGGAAAGGGGTGGAAGGAGAAGGGGCTTGGGAGGGAAAGGCACCAAGGGACAGGGGTGCGGGGGAGAGAGACAAATGCCAGGGGGCCAAGTGCAGACCATGAGGGAAAGGGCAGGAGGGGAGGGGTCAGTGGGAGGGGGGACAGGGTGATGCTGGGAGAGGAGAGGAGAGGGGAAGGGCACTGGGGGCTGGAGGGGGAGGTGCTGGGAGAAGCCTTGAAAGAAGGTCTGGGCATGAGGAAGGCCAGGATGGAGCAAATCGTGTGTGAGGGCCCAGAGGGGCAGGAGGGGAATGGGGCAGAGACTGGTGA